GAGCTGCCTCTGTTCCTGATGCTGCATCTTTCTTCATATAGGCCAGTTTCTTGGATTATTTGCTCAGCATGCAAATTGAGTAAGTAATAGATTATCAGAAAAACTTGTTTTGTTGCTCTTCTAGGACCACCCAGTAATAAACTAAATGGTAAGTACCTCTGGACAATCATATAATCCCACTTAATGTGTTTATTATTCCTGCAATATATTTGCTCCTAGATGTCTTGTTCTTAACTCCACGGATGATATTTCAGTCAATCATTTTGGAACCTTTGTATCCATGCCAACAATACAAGAATGGGCTTCTTTTTGTTGACCACCAAAGAGGCTTTTTTCACTCTGATGAAACACATTCCCCTAGTTCACAATGCTGAGTCAAAACTGACTCATAGCTGATCCTCCACTGGATTGCCAAGGCTAGAAATTGAAAGGGAGGAAATTGTCCATTTTTGCCCTGCAGAGTGACTGGCAGATTTGAATTCCCAGAGAGGCATAGCCTTGAGTTAAGCAGACTCTGTGATGTTGCTGAGAACACGATCAACTGGTGACTCAACACAATCTCCCTATTGTGGATAGTTTTTTCATTGTTCCCAGCTTATTCCATTTCTTACACTCTAGTCTTGCCTTTGACATCTGATACCGTGTTTATGCTTTGATCAATGTCTTATCACTTTCTACTTTCCAGGATTGTGGAGTTGTTTCCTGATTTACTGACTTAACTGAGTGTTTAATTGTTTACTTAAAAATCTTCAGAAACACGCGAGAATAATTTAAGAACCTGAAAAGCTCATCTAAGTTGAAGGCCAATATTTTTCTTTCCTTAACATTCAACAGTGTTACAAAAATACGCTTAACTTTCCACCCTTTTTAAAGTTGGTGTGTTGTGTATGCTTCACTGAAAATTTCTTCTACCACTGCTGTCTTGCCAGAATCTATTCTCATGTAATCTACATCAGAAGAGAAATCTAAAAGTAGTGGCTTCTTCTTGGGAAAAACAAACACTATCTGGAATATAATCACTTCTGCTTAAAAAACATTTTAAAAGTTTTCAAGCCACTCATTCATTGTTTGGGTTGGGTTCCCCCCCCTCTGAGTCACAAATATAACATATGCCTAATACAGAACATTTTGAGGATATAGACAAGTATAAAGAAGGAAAATGTAAACAGTAATTCAACCACCAGTAACACCACCTATTATTTCTGGGCAACTCCAAATTTTCTTGAAGCCTTAGTCTAGCAACCTCCTACCCTTTAAAAACTCCTCCTCAATAGGCTGTCCAGGACATTCAAAGTAGACAACTGACTTGAAGTATAAGGATCCTTAAGATTTTTTTTTTTTTTTTATGAAAAGGATGGAGCGGTAGGAAAAACCTACAAATTGTTCCAAAGATGACATCTTGTTCTTATTTAGCTTTCTTTGAGTCATTAACAGTCAGGCGCCACTGGTGCTGAAACTTATCATTATTATAACCGCAAATGGGTTAATGCCCAAACAAGCTATATTCTTGGGGTTGGTTCCCAGCTCCGCCACACAGACCCCAGTAGCGTTACCCTCCACATCCCAAGCGAATGCTCCAGAAATAGGAGCAAGTCAAATGTTCACACTGGACTAAAAATTATCTTCTTTTCTCTGAGAGCTCTCAGTGGTTGGCAGGGGAAAGCGAAAAGGGAAAAGAAAGAAATACTCAGCCAAAAAATTCACCAAAAAACCCCCAAAACCCCAAACCAAAAAGAAGAGACTATGTGATTTAGTGGTCAGACTAGGAACCTGGATGTTGAGATAGCAGAGATCTAGTCCCAATTCTCCTACTGAGTAGAAAGATAAGTCATTTTTCTAACTTGTGCCTCAATCTCTCCCTTAGATAAGGTAGAAACATCTTGGGAAGTTTTTATGAGGGCAGATGAAATAATATACAAACCATTTTAGGATTTTTCCTCAATAATTACTATCTTATTGAAATTTTTTGTTTTTAAAGTAAAAAATAAAGGTAGATCAGAAAGTTACATCCCCAAGGAATGGAGCTCACTCCTTGAAAGGAAAGAGGATCACTATCTTACACAAATACAAAATTTGAGAAATTTCCATTTCTTAAAGAAAAGAAGGCAAATGCCTTTTTCACTAAATTTTACAGGACCTCACATAAAATACCAAATTAGTAAATATATTACCTCAAGATACTAAATGCTGCTCCTAGTTTGTCTCTGTCCCTTTATCCCATAACCACATCCAAGTGCAGGGTGACTCAGAGGAGCCTAGAAATGAGACACATATACAATTTTAAGGGAAAGGGAGAATTAGGAGGTTTAAGGCTCCTTGCTGCTGGAGGAGGCTAAGAATAGACCACTCAATACACAAAGAGAAGAACCTCTTCCTTCCTTTCTTTCCTAGTGCAAGTGGTCCACTGGTTTCCAAGTCAATTTTCTGATAGCATGTTCTTATGTATTTTCACAAAACCTCACCTTGTTTCAGGGGCTGCCCAAGTACCTGACTTTGCTGTTAGCTGAAAGAGTGAAAAAGAGGGGCTTTTTCTTCTAGGTTTGAACTGTGACAAATGCTCCAGACCCCTAACCTGTTGCAAAAAGTAAAATACTTGGGAACCTGGAAACAAGGAGTTCTCTCCGCACTTAAGGGGGTGGGGGGCGAAGGGTAGAGAGTGATGTAGTGGCACAGTGGTTAAAGCACTAGTGTCTGAAACCATGTTGCTATTGTTAGGTGTTGTCAAATGCACTGCCACTAATAGTGACACCGTGAACAACAGATGAAAACCTTATCCTTTCCTGCACCATCATCATGACCTCTGCCATGCTTCAGCCCATTGTTGCAGTCGCTGTGTCAATCTATCTTATTGAGGGTCTTCCTCTCTTTCACTGACTCTCTACCTTTCTTCAAATGATGCCTTTCCCCAAGAACTGTCCCTTCCCAACAACATGCCCCAAATATGAGACAAACTTTACCCTCCTTGATTCTAAGGAGCATTCTGGTCACACTTCTTCCAAAATACATTTGTTCTTTTAGTATTCCATAGATATCCAATACTTTTTATCAACACCACAATTCAAAGGCTTCAATTCTTCTAGGGTCTTCCTTATTCATCATCTGACTTTCAGATGCATAGGAAGCAACTGATAATACCACGGCTTGGATCTGGTGTATCTCAGTCTTTAAAATGACATTCTTGTTCTTTAGCACTTCAAAAATTTCCTTTTACAGCAGGTTTTCCCATTGAAAAGACATCTTCTGATTTTTTTTGTGTGTGTGTGTATGTGGACCATCGAATTAGACCCAACTGGCACAGAAGATTGCCCCTCCTTCTCCAGTGTAGCATTTGGTGGATTAGAACTGTATGCTTTCAGGATTGCAGTGTAGATCTTTTGATTTCTTGACTGGTACTAACATGGGTGTTGACTGCAGATCCAAGTAAAATTATATAATTGACAACCTCAATCTTATCTCCATCTATCATGATATTGCCTGCTGATCTAGTGGTGAGTTTTTGTGTCTCTTTTTTACTTAGAAATGAAATCTGTATTAAAGGCTGTAGTTTTTTATTTTCTTTAGTAAGTGTTTCAAGTCTCCATTTTCTGCAAACAATAAATAATAAAGGGATGAAAATAGATAATGTTTATGGAAGTTCTATGGTGGGAAATATTGTGAATATTGCAAGGAACAATAATTATGAGATGCTGAAAATGAGAATGTAGAGGGCTGATAGTCATTCTTTGACAATGGGAAATATGACATTTAAAAAACTCTTTGGCCATAGATTAATCTGGAATTAATTCTTCAAATGGGGAGGAAAACTCACCAACAACCTGTATTACAGATGTAACACAATCTTGTTTGCTTAAGTGAAGAGAACTTGAGATGCTTGCTGCAAAAGATCAAGGACTACAGTTTTTTATATGGATTACATCTGAACATTAAGAAAACAAAAATTCCTTACCAGTGGGCCAACAGGCAACATCATGATAGCTGGAGAAAAGACTGAAATTCTTAATGATTTCATCTTGGTTAAATCCACAGTCAACACCCTTGGCCCTGGCATTCAGAGGATGAGAAAACATATTATCTACTGTCAGGGATCTCTTCAAAGTTCTGAAGAGTAATTATATCAGTTTAAAAATTAATGTGTACCTCATTCAAGTTATGGTTTTCCAATCACTTGCTATGTATCTGAGAGCTGGACAATAAATATGGATTTCAGGGGAAGAATTTGTGCCTTTAAGTTGGAGGAGAGTACTGAATATCCCATGAATTGCTAAAAAAAAAAAAATTAACTCAGATATATGTTGGAGAAAGTGCAAGGAATAAAGATGACAGAGGGATTAATGCCTTTAAGTTGAGGTGTTGGAGGAGAGTACTGAACATCCCATAGATTGTTAAAAAATCTCCAGATAATAAGTTGGAGAAGGTGTAAGGAGAGTGCTCTTTGGAGACAACGATGATGAAGTGTTGTCTCTTATACGTTTGGGGCATGTTTCTAGGAAAGGTTATTCCTCGGAAAGAGACATCATGCTTTGAAAGGTGGAGGGTCAGCAAAGGAGAGGAAGACACTTAACTGAGACGGAGTGATACAGTATTTGCAGCAATGGGTTCAAGTGTGTCAGGGATGATAAATATGGTGCAAGCTTGGACAGGGTGTAGGTCTATTCATAGAGTTGCTATGAGTCGACTAGATGTCACACAACCACCACTGCCATGAAAGAAATCTACATCAAAGCCAACCCACCACCACCATCACCAAAGAAATTGACATCAAAGTCAAACCACCACCACTACCACCACCACCACCACCACCGCCACCACCAAAGAAATCTACATCAAAGCCAACCCACCACCACCATCACCAAAGAAATTGACATCAAAGTCAAACCACCACCACTACCACCACCACCACCACCACCGCCACCACCAAAGAAATCTACATCAAAGCCAAACCACCACCAAATCTACATAAAATCCAAACAACCACTACCAACCACCACCACCACCACTACCTCCACCAAAGACATCTACACCATAGCCAAACCACTGCGCCCGGAACTTGTGTTCCCAGCTCTGCAGTGCAATACGGAGATTATTAGCGTGACACTGCTCCACCTCCCACCTCTCCTCTCGCTGCGTGGTTGCCATGACAACGGAGAGAGCCTGCAACCCAGGTTCCGGAAGCCGGGAAGCTAGAGCTTTGAAGCTATCCGGGCCAAAGGATGCTGAGTCCAGAGCGCCTAGCCTTACCGGACTACGAGTATCTGGGTAGGCGCTTCTTTCGGTTTCGGGGAAAGGAAAGGAGGGACAGCAAATTAGGGCAGAGTCTGGGGAGGAGGCGGGAGCGGAGCCGGAGTCTTGAGTGGAAACGGTGAGAATGGCTAATGGGGAAGGGCGAAGAGGGCTTGTTCAGGGCCTGCGGCTAGTTAGGAAGGACAAACGTGGAGGGAGGGGAGAAAAGCAAAGAATCTGGGCTAGGGGTGCCAGGGTGTAAAGAATGGCAGAAGTGTACGGACTGGACAGTATAGGTTGTGTTCAAATGGGGCAGGTTGCAGTTCAGAATTTAGAGCCCTAATGAGGTATTGATTTTTATATATTTCTTATTAAAAATCTCCCCCCCCCCTCCCCGTTGCCTTTGAATTGAAAACCACTGATTGCTGACTCTCCTGCGGGTTTTCAGAAGCTGCAGATCGCACGGGAGGAGATTGCCCGATTTCCTTCTGCAAAGCAGCTGGTGAAATCAATCCGTGTGCCTTTGGGAAGGCAGTGCAACGCCTTAATCACTAGGCCACCATTACACCCTGATTGATGTGTACCCACTCATAGCTAACCCTCTAGCTGGTTTTCAGAGGGAGTAAATCGTAGGGGAGCAGATTGCTCATCTTTCTCCCTCCACCACCACAACAGCAACAGTTGTGGATAACCTCGGGATCTGGACAGCCTAATCAATCATTCTATGAATCTTTTACCGTTACAGCAGCAAACTTAGGTTTCCTCTCTGAACCTTCATAATTGTCTTAAGGACGAATTGTTATATTTTCTTCCATTTCACAGGTGAAGAAACTGAGACTGAAAAGATAATTTGCATTAAAAGGCCAACTAGAAAATGTTAAACTAGCATTCGGACTTGAATTACCTACCCACTCCATAACTTGAGCATCTGACCGTTAAGTTGACACTGAGTTCATCGAATGAACACATAACACACACACACACACACACACACACACACACACACACACATTTTCAAAATGGAAAGTTCTAGTTTAGTGTTTTAAATTATTAATATGGAACCTGATTCAAAAGTATGAAGAAATTGACAATGGAAAATATTTTCCCAGTCATTTTTCTTCTTCTGCCCAGTCCCCATCCATCCTCTCGCAGTCTCCAGTGCGAAACTACTATTACTGGTGTCTTGCGTATTCTTCCAGATTTTAGGTTATTATACACTTAAGGCAGCATTTAGTGCACACCTAATCACTTAATTTCTCTAGGAAAATTTTCTGTAGGAATAGAGAACTTCCTTCTTTTCTCTCATCTTCTCTTTTTAATTATATAGTATCCAAGTAATTTATTTAACCAATTCACTGTTGGTAGATAATGAGCTGATTTCAACCTTTTGCTATTACTAAAAAAGCTGCAGTTAATAACCTGTGATTTTGTTCCTTTAGAAGTATAAATGTGCGGATAAGTTTCGCAAAGTGGAAGTGGTCCATCAAAGGGCATGTTGACAACCTTTGCCAAATTATCCTTCATAGGAATTTTACCATTTTACATTACTAGCAACGATGTCAGAGAATGCTTCTTTTCCTGTAGTCTTGTGAACAAAATATAACCAAACTTTTAGATATTTTTTCCTTTCAGTTCCATGATATGTGGTATTTTAGGGATAGTTTTAATGTATGTTTCTCTTATGAATGATGTTGAGCATGTTTTTACAAGTTTAAGAGCTCTTTGGTTTTTGAAACATGTGTATCTATAATTTGAGAGATGTCAACCATTAGTCAAAAGGGGATAGTTGTTTAACAGGTACTTTTGTATAAAAAGAGTTTAATAATATCTAGAATTTTGCTAAGAACCTCACATAGGTAATTTACTCAGTAACTAGCGAATCTGAAATATTTGAAAAACAGATTATTGCTGATTGGATTATACGTCTCAAGACATGACGTATTTGGAATACTGGTGCATTTGGTGAGTGAGAGTTTGATTTCTCTACAACTGGCTTTTTCAAGATCACTAAATCAGTGGTAAAGTTGATAATGAATCTACGGTCAGAGAATCAGAAGTTGAAAAGGCTTTAGTGTTCATGGAATTCACCCATTCATCAAATGCTTAAACTTTAGACTTGTGCTCTTAAAGGTTCTGTTGTGTATTTTAGTGTCTTGATTCTCCTGTCTTACCCACTGAACGTTTATGTTTCCGTAAGCCTGCTCACATGATTCCCTGACTTCCTCATTTACAGCTTGTCTTTAGTTGAGAACAACCATTGCTCATTACAGGTTGATCTGTCTTAGAGACTTGCTGTTTTAAAATGTTCTTAGGGAGCTTAGGTGGCCTAGTGGCAAGAAGCTGCACTGCAATCCCAGAGGTATGCAGTTCGAATCCACTAGGTGCTTTACTGGAGAAGGAGGGACAATCTCCTCCTCCGCAAGTCAGATCGGATTTGACAGTACACACACAGAAAATAATAAAATTTAAAAAAATGTTCAAATCTACCATTTGCTCAGTGGGAGAAAGATAGGCAGTCTCCTCCCTTGCAATTTGTTGTTGTTAGGTGCTGTCAAGTAGAGTATGACCTGTAGCAATCCTATGAAGAACAAATCTGAACCCTTCCTTATACTCCCCGACATTAGAGCCCATTGCGGCAGTCACCATGTCAGTCCACCTAGTTGAGCATCTTCCTCTCCTTCGCCGACCCTCTGCCTTTTTCAAGCATTGTGTCCCTCTCCAAGGAACAGCCCCTCCCAGCAACATGCCTGAAGTATGTGAGGCAAATCTTTATCATCTTTTCCTCCAAAGAGCACTGTGGTTACACTTTCTCCAAGACATACTTATTATTTCTCCTGGCAGCCCGTGAGATATTCAGTACTCTTCTTTAACACCATAGCTCAACGGGATCAGTTTTTCCATCATTCTTATTTATTGTTCAGCTCTCAGATGCATAGCAATTGATTGGAGAGACTATGGCCTGAATCAGACACACCTTAGTCCTCAAACTGACATCATTGCTCCTCAATAATTTGGAGATATTTCTAACTGCAGACTTTCCTAGTGCAGTACAACTCCTGATTTCCTGACTGGTAGTGTCAACGGTGTTAATTGTAGAGCCAAGTAATGTGAAGTTGTTGACAGTTTCATCTTTTCTCAATTTATGATGATGCTGCCTTTTCATCCTGTGGTAATAATCTTCGTTTTCTTGACATTGAGGTGCAATCCATATTGAAGGTTGTGTTCTTTGATCTGCAACAAGTACTTCAATTCCTCCTCAGCAAGCATGAGTTGTGTCATCTCCATAATGCAGATTATTAATGAGTCTTCCTCTGATCTTAATGCCACATTCTTCATAGAGCCTACCATCTCGAGTAATTTGCTCAGCATACAGATTGAATAGGTACGAAGAGAGAATACCACTCTGACTCACTCCCTTCTTAACTTGAAACCATATGTGTTCGCTTGCTCTGTTCACACAGCAGCCTCCTGGTGCAGGTATAGGTTTGTTTGTTTTTTTATAGCAAAATTAAGTGCTCTAGGATTCTCATTCTTCTCAGTGTTAGCCATAACTTGTTATGATGTTATGATCTACGTAGTCCAATGCCTATGCATAGTCAATAAAACATAAATAAACATTCTTTTGGTATTCTTTACTTTTAGCCAGGATCCCTCTGACACCAGCAGTGATGTCCTTGGTGCCATGGCCTCTTCTAAATCCTGCTTGAACTTCTGGCAATTCCCTATCTCTGTACTGTTCTAGCCATTTTTGAATGATCTTCAGCAGTATTTTTTTTGTGTGTGATATTAATGATATTTTTTGATAGTTTCCATATTCTGTAGGATTACTTTTCTTGGGAAGGGGAATAAATATGGACCTCTCCCAATCCATTGGCCAGAGAGCTATCCTCCAAATTTCCTGGCATAGACTGGTGAGTGTGTCCAAGGTTGCAATTAAAACTAGTCAGTTGGTATCCCATGGCCTACTGTGGCCTTATTTTTTGTCACTGCCTTCAATGCAGCTTCCACTTCCTCTTTCATTACCATTGGCTCCTGCTCATATGTTACTTCTAGAAGTTTTTCAGTGTCACTCACTTCTTTTGGTACAATAACTCTGTGTATTCCCTCCATCTGAGAACTCATGCGATTTACCACTTCTGAAAACTCACTGAAGGGTCAATTATGAGTTGATTTTAACTCAATGGTACATAACAATAGCAACAAAAAGTAATTTAATAAAATATTTCCTGATTTAAACTTTTAAAATATATTTTATTTTATACTGATTTATTTACAAAGTTTGAATACATTGTTTTTCACAAAAGATCCTTCCCATTTCCTTCACCCCCCAACCCATTGAATTGTGCAGCCCTATGGTTAACAGCCCCCCCATCCTCACCCCTCTGCTTCCATCCTCCCCCTCCTTGAATCCTTATTCTATAATAATGGTTTTTACGGTATTTGTCTTTGTGAGACTGAGTTCACTTAGTATAATGCTCTCCAGTGCCTTCCAGCTTAGGTAGTAATTTACAAAATCATTGCTCCTGCATGCTGTGTGGTATCCCATTGTATAATGTACCACAACTTCTCAGTCCATTCGTTTGTGGTTAGACATCTAGGCTGTTTCCATGTTTTTGTGATGATGAATAATGCTGCTATGGACATTAGTGTACAAGTCTCTGTTTGAGCCGCAGATCTCATTTTCTTGGGGTATATTCCAAGCAATAGAATAGCTGGGTCATATGGAATTTCTACGTTCAGCTTTTTGAGGAAGCACCAAACTGCCTTCCAGAGTGGTTGTACAATTTTACAATCCCACCAATAATGTATAAGAGTACCTATCTTGCCACATCCTCATCAACATTTATTACTTGTTGTCCTGTTAAACTTTGCCACTGTTTCTGGAGTGAGATGGCATCTCATTGTGGTTTTGATTTGCATTTCTCTTATTGCCAGTGATTTGGAGCATTTTTTTAAAGTGTGTCTGTTGGCCACTTGAATATCTTCCTCTGTAAGAGTTCTTTCCGGACCTCAAAATCTACTGCACAGTAGTAACC